ATTTACTCAGTGCTTACTCTATACCCCGAGTGCTGTTCATGCAGGCAACACAAACAGAAGAGAGATCAGACCCTGATCCCCTATTTGGGGTGGCTGTTTGGGGTGGCTGTTTGGGGGTGGCTGTTTGGGGTGGGGGTACACATTCAAAGGGGAGCACAGTGTTCTGGCCTGAATCAAATCTGTCTCTGCTAGCTCCAGCACCACATACATTGAGAAGGAGCTATGCCTAGCATTGAGACTCTTTCATGACTCTGATAAGTGCCACCATCCCTGTCTTTTCAAATTGCTTCTAGTTCTACCCCAGTCTTTGCATAATGAGGCAGTCATACAGGGTTCTTGCAAAGGGTAGTGAAAGTGTCCCTGTCCTTGCCCATCTGCATGAGCCCCGGCTGTCCCTCCTCAGTGGGCTGTCATGTTCCCCTTTGTTATTTGTACTGTAGTGAAGCACTGGGTAGCAGCAGCTTCATCATCCTGTCCACTGGGCTCACAGATTCCCCCCACCCCCACACACTCAGCACCCAGTCGCATGCTGGAGACTAGCAGCTTAGACTTCTCTGTCCAGGACTTGTGACCTTACCTTTGCCACTTGAGAACTTATCTGCTCTGATGGGGTTGCTCTGCTGGGATGTGGCCTTCTAAGGTCCCCTGGTTCTTTGCCTGCTCCTGAACAGCTAAGGAGCCCCCCCCCCACAACTGTGCTGAAAGGATGTCTGTTGGGGATAACTCTGCAGCCAACAGGTAGCAAGGCACTCTGGGAGTGTGAACAGCCACTAGGCAGGGGACCCCAGGTGGAAAACAGCTGTCTGTCCTCCATGGTTGATGATCAGAAAGAGAAGGTCAGAGCAAGGGATGAGGTCCAAACTTTGTCCCTTGTTTTGGAGGGCTATGAGCATACCACACTTGCTTCTGTATTCCTAAGCTCTCTCTACACCTTCTGATGGCTTATTTCTGGTTTTGGCACTCTGAGACTTGGCAGAATCCTGGAGTGAGGATGTCCTGGGTCACTGAGGCTGAACTGTACACTTGATTCATTGCAAACCATGGGCCACTGGGACTTAAGTGTTGAAGGTAGGTGTGTGTGAGAGAGAGATGGAGGGGGAGAAGGAGGAAGTGGAGGAGGAGGAGGAGGAGGAAGAGAATAAGAATATGAGAGGGGAAGAAAGGGAAGAAGAGATAAGAGAGGAGGGGAGGAGGGAAAAGTGGAAGAGAGAAGAAAGAAGGGAAAGAAGGAGGGAGAAAGAGGAAAGGAAGGAAAGGGAAAGGAGGAGAAGGAGGGAAGAGGGGCCAGTGTAGAGAGTAGGGACCACACACAACCAATAATGAATGGTCAGGCTGGGGTAGATTGGGTGACTGAAGCCTATTGAAAAGGTGAATCGAGGGCTTGGATGTGGCCACTGCTTCTGGGACCTGTGCTAGGAAATTCACTAGTCCAATCTCCAGGCACCAAACAAATGATTGCCACTCTCACTTTAGCTTTGGTTTAGCTTCTCTGGCTCTAACCCTAGCTCAGGCAGCCCCTCCTTCTTATTCTTTTTTCTTATTGTGAGAATACCATACAGAGGAGTTACAATTACATGGGCAAGGTAATGAGTACATTTCTTATCAAGCATTGTTGCCTCCTCTTTGTTTCCCCTTCCCATCCCTTCCCATACTCCCCCCACCTCCCCAACCCGATCCCCTCCCCCCCCCCACAAAAGTTGTAAAGTTCGTTTTTCGACATAACGACTTGTACATCTCATTGTTGGGATTGGCACCAAGCTGACCACTGTGGCAGGTATTTATGGAGTTTTCATAACTGAGATGCTTAGGACCAGAGTGTTCAGGATGATTTTTGGATTTTGGAACTTTTGCATATATATAGTCGGATATCTTGGGGATGGCCCCATGTTTAAACATTAAATAATTTGTTTCACATATAATTTGTACACACATATTGGGAAGGACATTTTATACATTTTTTAGCACAACTGAATTTCAACTATGACCCTTACATAAGGGCATCTGTGGAAATTTCCACCTGTGGTGTCACACTATACTCAAAAACTTTTGGATTTGGTAACATATCAGATTTCAAATATTTGGATTAGAGATGCTCAACCTTTATTTTACTATGATAACCACTTAATTATCATGGCCACTCCATTAGGACATCCTAACTGCTAAGATTACCCTTATTTTATAGAAGAGGAACCTGGAACTCAGGAAAGCAAAGTCATTTTCTCAAAGCCACACAGCAAATAACAGCCCAGAGCTTGACTCACAGGCGTGGCTGTGGTGGCCACACCAGGGCTGATGGATCATGGCAAGCCCTTCTTCCTTGACCAGGAGTCCTTGTGTGTCCAGCTTCCTAGAGCTGTAAAGGCCTGCGGGGCTTGTAAGGGGATGAACAAGCCTCTACTGTCACTTTAGAATACCAGACACCCTTCTTTTTTTGACTGCTTCAAGGAACTTTGGTTAATGGCAGCATATTGTCTCCACAAAGTTCCAGCTGTGTGTCTAATAATAAAAGCATTTGTGACAGCTGACATTCATTAGCCACCTGTTATTCTGTGCTAGGTGATGTGAGGAATTGAAAGCCTCTAGTTTAGAGGAGAAAAGAGGCAAAGAGGTTGGGCCTGGCTCAGTATCACACAGTTCGTGCATGGCAGAGCTCTTTAAGCCCTGTGCTCAGGGTTGGGGTGTGTGCTGTGTTGGGTTAGCACCAGCCATTGCCGGTTGGTTGTCAAGTGTTGAAAACCCACAAGGAGAGGAGGGAAAGGAGCCATGTGTGCAGTGTGGGTAGCTGAGGGTCAGGCCAGTGAGCATAGTATCAGGGTACATCAGTAGATATTTGAGCCCTGAAGGAGCAAAAGGTATGGGGGACAGGGAAAGATTTGAAGTAGGGTGCTCAAGACCTTTCTGCTTTATGATTTTGCATCAGTCTTTCTTAGGGCCAAGGTGGGTGTTCCCTGCACTTAGGAGAGGTGGATAAAGGAGTTGGGGAAAAGAAACTGTGCCTGAAAAGACATTGTGTGTGTGTGTGTGTGTGTGTGTGTAGTATAAGTATGTCCATGTGTATAAGGAAAAGATGCAGAGTAGAAAATACTAAATAATTGTCATTTTGTAGCTAGGCACCAGTAGCTCATGCTTGTAATCCTAGCTAGTCAGAGGCCAAGATATGAAGACTAGGGTTCAAAGCCAGCCTGGGCAAGAAAGTCCATGAGACTCTTATTTCCTATTAACCAGCAAAAAGCCAGAAGCGATGTGGCTCAAATGCTAGAGCATTAGCCTTGAGGGAAAAGAAAAAGTTAAAAGATAGCATCTAGTTCTCTAAGCATGCTTAGGCCCTCAGGAGTAGCATGCACACGTGCACGCACGCACACACCACACACACATATACAAACACACACACACACACACATTATCTTCCCATTTTTCACTGTCCTTGAGGGCTTTTCTAGTTTGTATTGTCACTGCATGCATATGAAGGTCTGCTAACCTGTAATTCTGCAGGCTTAAATAGCGTTTTAAATTGTTATATGGTTTTCAGGGTGATGAAGCTCTTTTTTCCTTGCTTTTCTGCTCACTATGGCTCAGCTTATTCCCTTCAAATGAACCACATTGGATTTTTTTCCTGGTAGTAAATCTCATTACTACTAGTTGGCAATTCTCTCTTTCTACCTTCTCCAAAGAGCACCCCAAGGTCCTGATCAGCTAACACCACCCTCAACGTGCAACCAATCCCGGCATCTTGGGAACCTCAAGCACTGCGAACTTCCTATCTCTTTTCCAGTGACTGACACCCATTTCTCTCTCCGCCATACCCGTTTGGATGCTTTTACACTGGACATTCTTATAGTTTTGTTACTTATAAAGAACAACTCTATGGGACACCTTTTGAGCTTGTAAATTCCAGCTTGGTTCAAAGTCTAGGGGACAGCTGAAGTAATGCCAATTTTTTTTGGGGGGTCCGGTCGTGGGGCCTGAACTCTGGGGCTGGGAACTGTCCCTCAGCTCTTCACCTCAAGGCTAGCACTCTACCACTTGAGCCACAGCTCCACTTCCGGCTTTTTTTTTCTGCTTATGGGGTGCTGAGGAATCGAACCCAGGGCCTCATGCATGCAAGGCAAACGCTCTACCACTGAGCCACCTTCTCAGCCCAATGCCAAATTTTTTTTTAACACACGGATCACCCTTTCAACTTGAACTCTTAAGATTTTGTTTTTGGTTATTTTTTAAGAGTCCTGATTTGGATTGAGTGAGTCTCAAGGGGAAAAAATTCACAGTGGATTTTACAGTCTCTCTGTACTGCCTGAGAAGCAGCCATTTGGGGAAGTGAAACAAGCTGGGGTTGGTGTGTGGAAATGATTATAGCTTTACTTCCAGCTCCAAGTGAAAGGTGGGGCTACAATCAAAGCAAACCTCACTTCTAGACTCAGAAGAACAACTGTATAGATACAGATGCAAAGTAGGTTGTGGTTAAGAACCAGAGGCATTTGGAATTTACTGCCAGCGTATCGGACATGTCATATTGGGCAAGACTTCTCTCAACCTCAGTTTCCTCATCTCTAAGTGGAGATGTTATGAGCCCTTACCTGATAAGACTGTTGAAAGAATTAGGTGAGTTTGTGCACACATAGGGACTGTAAATTTCAGGGAGGACAGTAAATTTCACTCAGGGCACTGCCCTAGAGAATGCTCCACCCCTATCTCTCTGTCGTCAACTGTTATACTAATGCTCTAAGTTAGAGGTGGCCCAGGATGGGCAAACCGAGTAGTGAAAACCATGCCCTGTTTTGGTAATTGCTGTCATAAGAGATGATCAATTTTTATTACTAGGAACCCAAACTGCCTGTCCAGTATCATTTCCAGTTCCTTGACAACCAGACACTTATGCCTATGGGTATCGAATGGCTCTTAAAATAGAAGAGAAAGAAGCATGAAGTAGAGCTTGTCTTGTGGAAAGTCTCTGATACCATTCTAATTTGATATCAGTCACTGCCCTCATAAATCAAACTCACCACACCGAATCCTTGGTGAGCTTGGAACTCACTCTCCCATCCTCTTCCAGGAAGATGTCCATTTGCAAGTTTGCATCATTATCATGGGCTGAGAAATAATTGGTGATGACTCTTGCTGGGATTCCAAGACATCGCAGAACTACAAGAAAGGACCATCATTAGGCACATCCACAAATTTAACAAATGCAGAGTGGGGAAAAAACTCTCTTGAATGGAAGCCTTCTTCTTTCTCATCTTGAGAAGCTCCCTCTTGGACATGTCCTTGAATGTCCAGATTGAAGAAGGGCGACTTGTTCAGTCCCCTAGGGACAGAAGAGAGACATATTGCTGTGTAGTGGGACCCTTCAGAAATTTAGTTGATGACAAATGCATCTGACTGGCATAATAACCCAACCACATGTCCTTTGAAGTTTAATTTTGAATTATAGGGTCATCAAAGAAGTCATATTTTACAGTAAGTTAGAAATGTACAGAACAGGCCTCAATGGGGTTTGTTTCTCCAGGCTGGAAGTCACTCCTGTGACACTCTGTGTAAGGGTGACACTTCAGATTCATTTTAATTGTTATATAATAAATTACCTGGGTGCATTTGTTGCCATATGCATCTATTGATTAAGCTTAATCTAAATGCCCTCCCTGGCTCCCAGGACGGCAGACATCAGGACTCATTGAAAATAATTTGGCTGACAATTTTAAGATTAATGACTTGGCTTGTCGTTTTTTTTTCCACTCTCAGAATAGTTTAGCATTTTAAAATGAGGACTATCCACCTCCTTCAGGACAACAACCTTGAAAGTCCCAAAAGTCTGGTAGAAATCAAGTGTTCCCTTAAATGACTTAATCTGCTTTTTTTGCTGTTGTTTTATTTTTTTATTTTTATTGAAAAGATGTTGAGCTGGGGGATGACAGTTACATGGGTAAGGCAATAAGTACATTTTCGCTTAATCATTGTTACCCTATCCCTCTTTATCTCCAACTGATTCTTCCTTCTCTCCCTGCAAGTCATAATGTTCATATCCAACATAGTGTCAAGTGACTATCAATGTTGCTGTGGTCCATCCATTGTTCTGCTGTTTCTGTGATTCCCTTTTTCTTTCACATATTGCATTGTCTATTATGCAAAACATGAGGTACAAAAAACTAAGAGAAATGAAGAAAGGAAAAGACAACAATAGAGAAAAAAATGAACTCTATACAGGGTCTAATGAAAACCTCTTGTTTCCATAAGTTGTGTGCTTCATTATATATAGTTCTTTGCACTAAGCATTTGGTTTGTTGAGATCCCTTGTTAAGGATATCATATACATATTCTAGTTCTTAAAAATGAGGGGAATCATATAACCTGCTTTTCTTTGGTTCTGGCTTACTTCACTTAATATAATTTCTTCCAAGTTTTTCCATTTCCTTATAAATGGAACAATGTTATTCTTTCTGATGGAAGCATAGAATTCCATTTTCTTGATCCACTCATCTACTGAGCATTGGTTCCATATCTTGGCTTTGGTAAATAATGCTGTGATGAACATTGTCATACTGGTTGCTTTAGTGTGGCCTTGTTTGTGGTCAATTGGATAAATTCCCAGGAATGGGATTGCTGGATCATAGGGGAGCTCTATGTGTCTTTTGAGAAACCTCCATACTGCTTTCCAGAGCAGTTGAACAAGTTTGCACTCCCACCAACAGTATAATAGCATTCCCCTTTGGTCACATCCCCACCAGCATCTGTTTTTGTTAGATTTCTTGATTATGGCCATTTTAACTGGGGTGAGATGGAATCTCAATGTTGTTTTGATTTGAATTTCTTTTATAGCCAGAGATGTTGAGCAATTCTTCATGTGTTATTTTTTTGGCTATGTAAATCCCCTCTTCAGAGAGAGAAAGATCTCTCTTAGGGTCTTTAGCCCACTTTTTAATGGGGTGATTGTTTCTTTGGGGGAATTTAATTTCTTGAGCTGTTGGTGTATCTTAGATATGAGACCCTTGTCTGTTGTATGGGTGGTGAAGATCTTCTCCCATTCTGTGGAGTTTCGATATATTTTGCTAGCTATGTCCTTTGCAGTGCAGAAGCTCTGCAGTTTAACGCAGTCCCATTTATCCAGCCTTTCTTTGATTTGTTATGTTTCTGAGTCTTTATTAAGAAACTTTTGTACTGTGCCAAGGAGCCCTAGTGTTTCTCCTATTTTTTCTTATAATATTTTCAAGGTATCTGCTTTTACCTCAAGGTCTTTGAACCATTTGGAGTTGATTCTGGTGCAGAGTGATACATATAGGGATCTAACTTTAGTTTTCTACACATTTATTGAAGAGGCTGTCTTTCTTCCATTCTATTTTTTTTGCCTCCCTTGAAATGACTTAATCTTAAATCCCAAAGAACAAGGGTCCTGGCTTCCCATTTACATTTCCTCTCTTGACCTTCAGCACCTTTTCACATGATCTTCACCAGAAAATTTACTGGCACTCTCATTCTGATTCTTGTGAGTGTGTGTGTGTGTGTGTGTGTGTGTGTGTGTGTGCATGTACACTAATACTGAGGTTTGAATTCAGGGCCTTATACTTTCACTGACCTTTTTTGCTCAAGGTTGGCACTCTACCACTTGAGCCACTCCTTCACTTCTAGTTTCTTTGCTGGTTAATTGGAGATAAGAATCTCAACAGCTTTTCTGCCCTGACTGGCTTTGAACCTGGATCCACAGATTTCAGCCACCTGAATGAGTACCTAAGATTGCAGACATGAGCCACCAAGGCTTGGCTGTTTCTGATGAATTTTAATGTGAGTTGCTGAATAGTAATTCCTAATATAGAATAAGACTTGTTCCCAAGTCTGCTTTTGCATCTTTTGTAGACAGACAAAGCTTGACTTTAGGGTATCACCTCTGTGTTCCTTGCAACTACTTTCTTCAGGTTCTTCTTTTTACTGTGAGCTCCCTGGAGGATGTTTCTGCCTTTTCTTTTCTTTTTTTTTTCCTATTCATTCTTTGTTTTGTGTTGTACCAGTCCTGGAACTTGAAATCAAGGTCTGGGCACTGTCCCTAAGTTTTTGTGTGCAAGGCCAAAACTCCATTTCTTGCCTTTTTTTGTTATTAATTGTAGATAAAAGTCTCACAGACTTTCCTGTGCAGGAAAGCTTTGAATCACAATTCTCAGCCTACTGAGGAGCTAGGATTACAGGTGTGAACCACTGGTGCTCCACTTGCATCTGATTTTCTTAATTTACCACCAGAGCTTGTTTTCAGGTATAGATCTCATAGCTAATTTATACAAAAGGCATAAATAAAGCCATGTGCTGGTGGCTCAGGCCTGTAATTCTAGCTAGTCAGGAGGCTGAGATCTGAGGATCACAGTTCAAAGCCAGCCCAAGCATGAAAGTTCATGAGACTTTTATCTCAAATTACTCACAGAAAAAACTGGAAGTGGTGCTGTAGCCCAAGTGGTAGAAAGTGCTAACCTTGAACAAAAGGAGCTTATGCCGAGGCCCAGAGTTCAAGGCCCAGGACCAGAAAAAAAAGAGGCATAAATGGATGTAAAGTGGTCAGTGTTTTATGTGGTTCTAAGCCCAAAGGAACAGTGAGATTGTAGGCAAAAGAAGACTTGGGTCTATTTTGTCATTTAGGAATCATTTCACAAGACTTGTGACTTCTCACTGCATTGGTGTGGTTTCCTTCCCAACTCCTGGCATGGTCACCTTTAGCCTGTCCTGAAGCCCAGGTTGATGCCTAGAACTTCAGAGACTGTCACTGCCAGGAGACCAATGCTTTGGTCTCAAGGCTAAGAAAATATATATTATTCAGTTAATGCCAATGAGAAACAAAACTAACAAAGTTAAAATTACTTTCTATTTGGATCATTGACTAAATCCTAGACTGTTAGCACTTTGAAGTAAAACTGGTGGATTTCACAATCGTGTTTTTAAAAATAGTCTTGTCCTAGCCTCCAGTTGCTGCTTCTTTTTCTTTTTCTTATAAAAATTTTTACTAGATCCCGGCACCAGTGGCTCACACCTGTAATCCTAGCTACTCAGGAGGCTGAGATCTGAGGATCACAGTTCAAAGCTAGCTTGGACAGGAAGGTCTGTGAGATGCTTTTTTCCAATTAATCACCAGAAAACTGGAAGTAGCACTGTGGCTCAAGTGGTAGAGCACTAACATTAAGCCGAAGAGCTGAGGGACAGTGCCCAGGCCTAGAGTTCAAGACCCACGACCGACAAAAAAAAAAAGTTAAACAGGCAAAACATTCCTTATGAACAAGCAAGCAGAAAGGTAACTTTAACTTGAGCTAAGTGTTTCTCCAAGACTGGAGAAATAGCAGGTGAATGGAAATCATTACCAATGATGAGACACACAGAAACAAATGTATTTTCTAAGATATTCACTGAATTCACTATAACATTATCTGGGCCTGGAGAGGCAAATGCCATTTTGACAAATGAGGCACAAGCCTGAAGAGAATAATTTAGTTCCTGTCTGTTTTGCCCTATAGATTGGCTGTTGTGTGGATTGGATATCTGAGAAACAACAGGGGAGGTAAAGATGGTTCATTATATTTGATATCTAACTGCTCGAGGGTATTGAGACTCCCATGTAAAGGAGGGAGATGAGAGTACTTTTCATAACTCCTTTCATAATTGGGATAAAAATTAAATGGAAATATTTATAAAAACAACAAATCAGCATATTAGCTACAGTCTGCATCTTTTCAATAAGTCTATCTCTTTTCTTATTATTATTTTAGTTTTCCCTCTTTAGTCTTTTAAAAATAATTTTTAGAAATAGCTAATCATTTCTCCCACATTCTTCCTTAGTCCCTGCAAGCCTCCATAGCAGTGGGTGTTGGCTGATGGATGATGTAGGAAACAGTCCATCATTCTTTCTATAAAGATTCTGTAATCAGATACTTTGAACATATTTGACCCAGTACACCTTAATTATGCATTGACTACATCCCAGAATAGTCATCTATAAATTCTACAGAGTCAAAAGGGGATGCTAAGTCTCTCTGCCAGGTTATAGATAAAATGTCTTGAAGTGGAATTTCCTTTATATTAAAAATACGTTACTCAGTTGGATACTTACACGTGTTAAAGACACCAGCAAAAACCCAGCACTGGCCATAACGGACTGGCTTCTCAGAGCTCCTGTATTCCAGTAGAATGTCAACACTTCCAGTCCAGGCTGATGGGGGAACACCATAAGCATAGATATTGTCCCATGATCCCACAAGGACACCTTCATCATCTTTGGCATTCACCTAAATGAAGCCATGAGAGGTGAAAAGGAAGAAAAGCCATTTAAATAAGCACTTCTGAATTATGAAACTTGGCAAGTTAAGGCTTCCATGTATCTGCATTGTGTCAACAGTTCCACTGCTGTTCAACTCTGTTCAATAGTGCACAAACCAAGTGTGCAAAGGGGAAGACCAAAGAAGCGAGACTGCCCCTTGACAGGTATTGAATGACAGGGAGGAAGAATCTTGTGACATGCTTTGGACAAGATCCACAGGGCACTTGGTTTGGGTGAGAATGACATGGGCAAGAAAGAAGGAATACCTGCAAAGGAAAATAACTTGGGAGGGAATCTTGTGGTGAGAAGGGCAACACAAGACTGATAAATGAAAAATGCTTGTCCAATGGGCTTTGATTCACATGATACATGTCAGATTCCAATGAACTGATAAAGAACAGATATTACCGTAGGAACCACTGCATTAACAAAAATAAAACCGGTGGCTCACACCTGTAATCCTAGCTACTCAGGAGGCTGAGATCTGAGGATCTCGGTTCAAAGCCAGCCCGGGCAGGAGAGACCGTGAGACTCTTATCTCCAATAAACCACTAGGAAACCGGAAGTGGTGCTGTGGCTCAAGACGTAGAGCGCTAGCCTTGAGCTGAAGAGTGCAGGGACAGCGCCCAGGCCCAGAGTTCAAGCCCCACGACTGACCCCCTAAAAAAAGAATAATGAATTCCTATGGGTACTATCACAGAATTGTTTTTTTTAAATTATAAATTTTATTAAAGAAATAGTCTCTGTGATAGTTTAAAAACAAGGATACAATGTGTGAATCTCAGGTCCTTGCATATGCTATTCAAGCACTTAAGCACTTACCACTGAGCTACCTCCAAATCTAAGCTTGATAGTTTCGTTAAAGGACATTTCTGTTTACCTAAAGTACCCAGAACAAAGGAGACTTTTGCAGACAGTGGCAATCTTGAATATTTAAGAAACCCCTCAGACTACAATCAGCAAACACCTTTCATGTTTAGACAAAACCACTAAGTAAGAGAAGTGACAGTTTTGAAGCATTCTGTCACTTTTTTTTTTTCTCCTGGGTACTGAAGGATCATGAGATTTAATTGTAGTTAAAAATCCTAGTTGGAGAGCAGTGGGAGTTTCCTAGTAATAGGTACCACTTTAATGAATTTTACAATTGACAATAGTGTTCTGGAGCCTTGCTACTCCAAGTGCACCAGCAGTGCCCACTCTTACTGGGACCTCATTAGGAATACAGAATCTCCCAGGTCTACTGGAAGAGAATTGGCCTGTGTGCACATTAGCTTGTGAAACATAGGTCTGGGTGATGCTGAAAAGACATGGCCAGCAATAGGAAGTTCATGATGAGATGTATTTGGATTATGAAAACCAGCAAGAAGCTACTAAAATATGTTTTTTGAAAAAAATGCGTCTTCTGCCTCACTCACAGTGCAGCCGTAGCACCTGCCCAGGCCTTTCAGTTCTGCTTACTGCATTTGGCTGTAGAGGAGCCTGTCTTTCCAAATGATTCAAGAGTTCATGGAGAACTCTTGAAATGTGATTTTTATGAATTCTAACAAGTATGAGCAGAGTTGGTGCCCCATAATTGTTCAATAATCACCCGTGTATTCAACAAGCACATACACCTTTTATAATGAAGAAAAATAAGACCTTTAATCCTGGAGAGAGATGGATAGGGAGCCAATAAAGTAGAATCAAAGATTACTAGAATTAAGAAAGATATATAGGCAGAGTGAAAAACCAAAGAACCTTCCAGAGTGATGGCAATTGTGGGGGTTCTTTGAGGAGATAAGAGGAAAACTGGCCAGAAAAGTCATCCACATAATGGAAAGAATTAAATGAATCCTTGATGAAATCAAAATAATTCGCAGCAGGTTCAGGGTCCTCTGTATGAATATCATGTAAGTAGGTTATATGGACTGAAATAGGAAATGTCAGAAGAATATAGAAAAAGTGCACAAGCACCTTCTACAGTGAAGGACACATACTCCACTGAAATAATGGGGTGTGCTACCTAGAAGATCACTAGTCTGATTTAGACACATTATTTCTCACTTTTGACTCTACCCAGTCAGGTTTTTAAAATTTCTTTTCTTATAATAAGTTTTTTTATTGTGAAAATACCATATAGAGGGGTTACAATTACATGAGTAAGGTAATGAGTACATTTCTTATCAAGCATTGTTGCCTCCTCTCTTGTTTTTCCCCTACCATCCCTTCTCTCCCATCCCCAAGACTACACTCCCCCTCTCTCCCCTCCCGCCACCACCAAAGTTGTAAAGTTCATTTTTCAACATAGTGTCTTGTACATCTCATTGTTGCAATGGGTCCATCTGTTTCCCTATTTAAACAATTTGTTTTTTCCCTTCCCCTCCCCAAATTATACCAACATCAAATACAGTGAAAAAAGAGGTTATACCATGGGAGAGGGGCATACAAAACAACAAAAAAATCACCTGATAAATATGTTAGAAACAATAGCAAGAAAGAAAAAAACCACTTGTGTCCTTATCTTGGGGTTCATTTCACCTAACCTCATCTTATCTGACCTTTTCTGTTTAGCTCAGACATGTACTAGTTATTGCAAATAAGGGAAACCATGGGACCTATGTTTCTTTGGGCCTTGCTTACTTCACTTAATATAATTTTAAAGAGTTTCAGTAACTCTTCCAGTTAATGTGTTCCATGCAGAAAAAAATATTCTCTGAAGATTTCTGAAAGACTTTGTTCAGCTGATTGGAAATTCATGCCTTTGATATGAACTTTGACTTTTGCCTGTAGATCCATGTAATGACTAGGGGTCAGGAGGATCCAGCTGACACTCTGTCTCTGTTCTCTTCATGGTTAGTACTTTCCATTACAGTTGATTTGATTATTAATCTGTGTCTATTATAATGGATTCCCAAGAGTATCTTGGTTGGCTCTGATATGGTTGGTCTTTAATGGCAGGTTGATTTAACTTTGAACTCACTATACCATTCCCTTATCATTGAGAAATAGAATAGGATTTATGAATCCTGAAAATAAAAGTTCCTAAATTGTGGTTCTGATGCCTTGTTTTTCAGCTAGATACTCATTAATTAGCAGGGTTATTTATAGCATAAGTCAGAAAAGTGAAAAGGAAAAAAAGGCTCTCTTTTCTACAGACCTTTTAATTGTTAATGCTGAGCTGTTTCCCTGTTGCTAGATAAATCACAATTCTCATTTATTAGCATTTGGCCAGATTAGCTACTGTTTTCTAATTAGAATATTGATTTCTAGGGAGTTCAGACACTGAACTAGATAAGTCTTTGGTGACTGCTATAAGGGGTTAAAGTAAAATCTCTCTCCCTAGAGAATAAGATATATTTGGAATACTCTTCAAGGACATATTACTCCATTTCCTCCCACAGTTGCCTGATGCAATACCCTAGCATGAACTCAGGAGTTGCCTAGGGATGCAAGGAAATATCTTGGCCTTGAGTCACTGGTGATCAAAAGACAGTCTGAGCCCAGAACTCTGGACAGGAGGCATCTTCAACTTCAATATAATTATACTATGTTTCCCTCCCACAATGACTACAGAATTGAGGAAATGAAAAAAAAGTGCAAGCCCTCTAAAAGTTACTATCAGTAACCTCAGTGGCATAATATGCTGCAAAAAATTCAAAACCTAGTGCCAAGAGAAGATGACACTTGATTGAAGCAGAGGCAGCCTGGCTCACTTCGTGACCTTGACAACCACTCCCTCGTAAGCCTTACTGTGAGGTTAACACAAAACTGAGTTTTTTTTTCCATTTGTCTTTCAAAATCTGGAAAGAAACATACTGAATTAGAGCATTAATGTTCACTAATTTTTTGTTTGTTGTTGTTTCCACATATTGTGGGAATAATTTCTGTGAGGAAAAAGATGAATAAAAGGCCTGCACCTCAGAGGAGGTAGATATTCTATGTCCATGGCTGGAGAATGATATAAAGCCCAAGAAAATCTTTCATGGGAAAGAAATACAGCTCCTATTATGCGAGTGGGTTCTGGAAGGAGAAAATTAACCATCTTAATGAAAGGAGCAGAAGCAAATGCTCTAGTGAAGACAATTCATTTCTCAGTTAACTTCCTCCCCCATTCTAGTCTCCGTGGGAACTGAAGATTAGACAGAGTTAAATACACTGTCTCAAATTTATCTTTGGTTCAGAATAGTTAAGATGTCTTCTGTTAGAACAAATGAAAAGTCATGTAAGTACAAACATCAATAAAAGAAAAAGAAACCATAAAAAGGGAAGAAGAGAGAAAAGGGAGGAAAAGGGGGGTAGGAGGGAGAGAAAGAGACACAGAGAGAGAAAGAACAAAATCTGCCAGGCACTGGTGGCTCACGGCTGTATGTAATTCTAGCTATTCAGAAGGCTGAGATCTGAGGATTTTAGTTTGAAACCAATCCTTGGCAGGAAAGGCCATGAGGTTCTTATCTCCGATTAACCACCTAAACAAACCAGACTGGAAGTGGAGCTATGGCTCAAGTGGTAGAGTGCTAACATTAAGCATAAAAGCTCAGGGACAACACCCAGGTCCTGAGTTCAAGTCCCATAACAAAAAAAGGAAGAAAGGAAGGAAGGAAGGAAGGAAGGAAGGAAGGAAGGAAGGAAGGAAGGAAGGAAGGAAGGAAGGAA